GATCCATTCTGGTTTTGATGTTTTTTTTCATTTGGGCCTTGTTTTTTTGGTCTTGGTGCACCTGTTATATAGTAAGGGGTGGAACCTTAGGTGTTCACCGGGGCGGGGCAACCCACGTCACTGCGTTATGACGCTGTACGTTCCCTCGGGGAGGGGTCCTAGAGGAAACAGTGCCGTTTGCTCAGCTCTCTGCTGGTTTTCAGTCACTTCCCCCGCTACCCACAAGCAAATTGGGACCTTCTGGTGCTGATTTCCAGGTAGGTGGTTTTGAACATGTTCTAGAAGCCTCTGGGTCTCTCCAATGAACCCTCTTGTGAGACTGGGAGTTTCTCCTGGTGCCTCAACTCCCACAGGTGTTTTTAGTCAGAGGTTTGCAGGCTTTATTTATTTGCGCTGGGGCCCTGGGTTGCGTGGTCTGTCTCACTCCCCAGTTGTTCCTCCTGGTTTATCCGCACGCAAATGTGGGACCCTGGTTTGCCAGCTGCTGACTCGTCATGAGTCCTCTCTCTGCCTGGCTGCCCACCTCCACCCCTCCTACTGGCCTGGATGAATGTTTCTTAACTCCTTGGTTGTTGGATTTCCATAGTTAGATTTTCTGGCAGTTCTGGTTGCTTCGTTTTTAAATTTGTTGTTGTCCTTCTTTTGGTTGTGCGAGGAGGCACAGTGTGTCTACCTACGTCTCCATCTTTGTCAGAAGTAAAGATTTCTGCACTGTAACAAGTCCAGATGCTAAGCTTATGAGCTCAGAGGGAAGAAAATGACTGTTTTCAGTGAGTCCTGCTTATTTTTTATTGCACTTGTCTTAGAATGTGGGGGCCATTTGTTTCATATAATGTGAAGCCATTGCATTTAACTGTGGCATCTTAATTGTCATAAAACAGTAGAAAAGAAAGTTTGTGGTTAATAAAGAGAATACAGATTGCAAATTTTAAAAACTGCTGTTTTTGTCATTTGATAGTAAATATAATTATGATTTGGGAAACCTCACAGTCTTAGCAGAAATCGCCTATTACCATGCACCGAAATAAAATCACTTCTCAGTCAGTAGCTTAGCAGTTTGCTTGCCTGGGTTAGTAAACGAGTGTTCTTAGACGTGTGGACTGTCCTGTTATGTAAAGAATCTGGCACTTCAGCAAAAGGGTCTTTGAAATCATTCTGTTAAGACCCCAAAAGGTAACAATTAAGACTTCAAATCAAAAAATACAATGTACACCTCTCTCATTGCAGCCGCCATACAGTGACGTGGTTAACCACAGCCAATTCATAGGTATGCAGACAGTCCCTGCTTTCTGTTACTCCTTTCATCGGAAGCCTGTGTTTTCCCATCTTTCTTGGGAAAGGAGAGGAGAGGGTTATTACACACTTTGCATTCGATTTCCTTCTTTCCTCTTTTCTTGACCAATTTTCTCAGAAAAATACTCCCCCATACCTCTCTGCTTTAATTTTGAAGGGAAGAATAAAGATCCTTCTTAAGAGCAAGACACCACTCAAACATATGTATGCAAGAAAAGGCAAAATTTAGGCTTTGAAGTAAAATTGGATTTTAACAGAATCAGGAACCTTAATTTTGAGTGCCAACTTTCGAACTTTCCAGAATATCTATGAAGGTCTCTAAGCTTCTACCCTCTTCTAGAACCCCACAGAAGACAACAGAGACATTCTCTGCTCACAGTTACAGTTGCACATCCCAATAGTACTGTACCTTATTTCTGTATTTCAGATGCAGAGCATTTCCACTGAGCAGCGGGTTGGCCTGGAAACCCGTTTTAGTACTGGTTCTATGTGGAAATGTACACCAAGTTCAAAATGGCTGCACCCACTGATTAACTTGGCCCTCACCACTTACCTCTAACTATGCCTAAGGGTATTTATTGTGAGGGACACGAAGGGATGTGTCGTAATACCCATGTCAGTATACAAATGGGGAAGTCTAAGTAGCAATGAATGCCAAGTGGGCAGAATATAGAGCAAGTGCCATGAGGAGGTGCAGTTTGGAAAGGTCTCATAATCTTGCCCTTTGGCCTGATCCTTGAAGGTTAAACTTGAGTAGAGAGAGGGGAGAGGGGATGGACAGAAGTACATTAATAGGAATGTGCAAGATTAAGGGAAGTGATTGGGCTAACTCAGTGTAAGAATATTCTGTTGGAAAGCAACACACCATCCTGGAGAGGTAGGTAAGGATCAGACTGTATAGTCTGACAAGGTTCCTGAGCAGGAGCGTGTGGGCTTCACTGGTGCTACGTCTTTGGGTGCCGAGGTATGAGCCAGCTGGAGGGAGGGACACCCATCAGATCAGGGCGTAAAAAGGCATCGAGCCCGCTGAGAACAGACGAGTGTGGGCTCGCAGGTGGGAATGAAAGTCCTCCTGGAAAGCAGTTCCGCAGTGAGGATGCTGCAGTGTGTTCACTGTGCAACGAGGATCAACAAGCACTTCTAGAACACAGCATCAGTAAGTTGTAATGGTTCTGTTATGAGGATGAGGTCAGAGGAAGGATGTGTTCCTGCCCTCAGAAAAGGAAGAAAAAGGAGGTAAAGAACATCTACAGAGAGGCTAGAATGAAGTATATCTTGGGTCAGTTTTAGGCTTGAGGCAAATATGGAGTCAAGTCCTTTGAAGAAGGTGTTTATTTTCCTGGAGAAATAATTTGCTATGCTTCATCATAAAATATACATTCCTTAGGTAACTGGACATGTAACAACGTACTTTAGGTCAGTGTGATTTTTGCCTTTGCAAAGCAAGCAACCTTTAGATAAGGTTAAAAAATTCAACTGCAGTAACTGAAACATTAAATTCTGGTCACTTGAGATCTCTCTAGACCAATTCAGAGAAATAGCAAATATACTGAGTTTTTGTTCATTAATACTGTGGAGAAAAGTGCCTGAAAACCCCTTTATGCAAGAACATGACCTACTAAGATAATCCAGTTCCTCAGAGAGAAAGGTTTGGCTCAGCTCAGGTAGCTTACATTAATCCCCTAACACCCTGTGAGGTGGGTTTAACATGCTGAGAAAAACAAGAAAATATCCCAGGGTTTCAGAGTAAATCTGGAGAGAGAGCAGAATTGAACCCCAACTGTCCTCGCGAGATTTGTGAGGTCTATCTGGGAAGCATCGTGCCACAGAACCTTTCCAAGCAACTAGTCAAACTATTATACCAGAACATGCCAATTCTGTTTTTGAACTAATAATATAGGATGGGATTTATAGTTACAAAATACAGTGCATTTGTATACCAAGCATTTTTTAAATCCTTACCTCAGGACATTTTTTGTTTTCATTGCTTTTTAGAGGGAGAGACAGAAACATTGATGGGCTGCCTCCCACACATACGTGGCCCTGGACCATGTGTGCCAAGACTGGGAGTTGCACACGTCCAGAGGGAGGGCTGAACCCTCAGCCCAGGTGTGTGCCCTGACTGGGAACTGAGCCTGCAACCTTTCGGTCACCAGGCAATGTTCCATCCAGCTGAGCCACACCAGCCAGGGCCCAAGCATTTTTTATGATTAATTACGCTCCATCAAAAAACGGAAATCCAAACAGCTTGCCACATGCAGAGTGGGGAAAACCCCCATCTCAACAAATATAAAGCTGCGAAATTGTGTTCTCTTTAGAAAACGTCCTTTCTTTTCTCTCGGTTGCCTAATTATATTTTCAGATGGAAGCAATGAAAATTGAAATGTAGCCCTGAGCCATTTTATCTTTGAGTGAAATGGATATAATTGTAGCTTCTGAAAACCGGAGCCCAAACTGTGCTCACCTATCACAGAGAAATAGAAGTATTTTGTAATATTACGTGGGACACTCCACCGAGAGCCCGCACGGAGATACTCCACCCGGAATGGCCTGCTGCGCGCTACAGATCCAGTATTTTCTGAGGGAGTACAGTCCACTTTAATGACCCACGGACTGCACGTCCTATTGCACACGGTTCATTTCTTACACCTATCATTGCTCACCAGAATTTCCCACCATTAAATTGGAGAGAAGAAAGCTTTGAAATGTCAGTTAACTTTACTACTTATAAATGCTTTGATTAAAATATAAATTAAAATATCTATGGTTTTCTACATAGAAAACCATGGTTTTATTTATCCAATATAAAGTCTGTTAATAGAATTAGACTGCAGATGGATCCAGATTATTTAAAACAATGAAAATCTTAAAAGAAAAATAAAGTTTCATTTTTTTCCACAAACATTTGCAATGCAACACATTTGTATACTGTATTAGTACCAGTTATGGGGGTATAGATACTAGTCAACATTTTGTTAACATAAAGCTTTTCCTGAGAAATCCAGTTTACATGAACTGCTTGCTAACTAGCCACCTTCCCTTAAAATACTGAGAATGTTAGCACCCAGAGAAAAGATGAGAATCAGAAGTTCATCCTCCCATTTGAAGTTTTCAGTACCGTAATTATACTTCAGTGCAATAATCCCTTAAAGGTGGCCTCCAGTCCACCCACACGTCCAGGCCTCACACTCCCCGGGAAAGAGTGTTTCTGTCCCACTAGATTTAAAAGACCAGTTACAGCAAGGCGGGGTTTTCTACACTTATGTCAGAGCGATCAGTAAGTGCCACTTTGCTCTTTTCAAGCTCAGAAAGACCAATTCATAATTTTTTGAAAACTTCATCTTCAAGAGAAATACCACATCCTCAGCACCAATAAGAGCAAATATTAACTAAATGACTACTCAGGCTAAATGAGCCAAGAAATCACGTTTTCAACCATGGGGTAAACTTTAAAAGCCCTAACACAAAGGAAAGGAAAAGCTATAACAAATTATGAAAAAAGAAGGTATATTCATTTTTCTTATGTCTCAGTTGAAACATGGTTTCTTTCATCAGTTCAAAAGCCTGGGGAAATTAATAAAAACCACCCAAGAAATGCAGTTGAATGCCATGATGTCATGAGAAGACTCTAGAGAATGAGTTTTCTCTGGTTTCAATTAATTATAAATTATCTCCTATCCCACAAACCTTAAAAACAAGTCACAAAATCCACATTAGAATATAAGTTTTTTAATTTTTATAAATAACTTATCTGTTACAAAGATAGTTTACCCAGCTAAATCACAAAACCATCAACTCAAGATATCCAAATTACGTTTTATTAATAAAACAAGTAAAAACTGATTTATCAATCTTCACATAGAACTGCAGATGAAGCTGAAAAACAAGGCCTATTTTTAAAGCAAAATGCACCAAATGTAAGGGCTTTGGGTCTACTGTCTAATTAACTAGGATTGTCATACTTCTTCCCATATACATAGCACAACGCCTAGAAGTCGAGGCTTTGACATTCATGTTAGATCACCTGTAATAATCCTGTGTGTTTAAAAATATCCATTTGCAAACATTTACAGTGGGTGACAGTCTACATTACCTATCTTTTGCTAGGTCTCAGCACTTCTGTTAGCCCCATTCTAAGCACTGATATATAATTTCATAATTCTGTCTTTTTAAATGCATACTGTTATTTTTTCTTGATTTTATTTAGTTATATACATTCCTGATCATCTGAATATTTATTTTACTTATAAAAATATATCATCAAAATAAAGAGATGCTTGAGGTTGCTTCAGTGTTCAAGTTTGCTTGTTTTTTTTCCAGCTTTTCTTCAGTTGTCCTAAATACGACCAGCCTTGTTTTATAAATACACACGATACTGCCACCAAGTCAGGTTTAGAAATGAACTGCCCCAACAGTAAAGCATTTAAACTTCTTTCTCTCTCTCTCTCTCTCTTAAAAAAAGGGGGGGAGGGGCTGTAGGTATTGCTGCTGTTGCTGGTTTTGAAACTGTACTTTCCCAATAGCAATGCTTGGTGAAGGTTCTGTGGGACACCAGGCAGATGAGGAAGTTTAACCTTGTTGCTCCGTCAGTGGGTTGGAAACCTTTCGTTTTACACTTCCCTGGGGAAGACAAAACACTGTGCTATGTTGTCACCCACTGCTAAAGGCAGGGCACAGTGTGACCTACAGACAGAGGTCTTGTAATTACATTTCCTGCAGTTCACTGCGCAGCATTGGGATGTCTTCACAGAGTGTTGGCACTCATGAGGGCAAAGTACAGAGTAAGCAGAGGAAAGTTATTTTGTGCATAGTTTCAATTCATTAATGCTTTTTTATTTTAAGGCATTGCTTCTTTTGGGTAAGGCTTAAAAAGGGACATGATCGTGCTTAATCACTAAAAGGAAATAAGAAAATTAGTTAACAAAAGACTATTACACTATACATATAGAAATATAAGAAAATAATAAAGGAGAAGAGAAATCGCTTAAAGCAGACTTGAGAGACCTGTACAGTAGGAAAAGCTCTGGGATACTTCACGGCGTGTTTGTACAGACAATGCATGCTGCTTCCTTTTCGTCTTTAGACCTAGATGCTGGCTTCAGAGTGGAGACGTTTTCAGGGAAGACAAAGACAAGGCCAGGAGTACCACAGATTTGTGAAGTTCTTCCCCTATCCGTTGGCACTATGCGGCAGCAAAGTTTTTAAATAGTTAAACCTTGTTCCATTTCTTCATGTTTGTAGTGTTTCACTGAAAGCTTTAAAAAAAAAAGCCATCATTTTATTCCTTCCTCCTGTCAAAATTCAGTAGTGACATGAGGGGAAAAGGTATGGGAACACCTAGGCGTTAACACATTGAGAATTATCTGAAATGGGCTACTGGTAACACTGAACGTGGTTAGGCAGCGGGCAACCAAGTCTTTCAGCAGATTACCTTTCATGTGATGGATTTCAACTGCCCATGACATTAGACTGAGGTATTATTAGCTCCGTGGGCTGACATTTAACATTAGCACAACACCATCTTGTCACACCTTCCATTTGACAAAATCCTATGTAGCAGTGAAACTTTTCCCCTGATGGCAGACTGGTTTCTTGAACTTCAGATATGGTTCTGGAGAAGATACAGGCCCTCTGGCTCAGAAATGCCTTGGCATCTCACACTGTTCACAGCGGATTAAGGCGGGATGGTTCAAGAAAGTACAGGCAGTACAATTCCACTGAGCCCCCTCATCATCTTCCGTATCTTGAGTCTTTGGTGTTTTGATGGTGGACCTCTGATCTGTAAGGAAGCAAAACAATCACTTTAGAAGCAAACAACACAAAGTTATCAACTACTGGCAATCTCCACCACTGCTTGTCCTGCATGGCACTAAGACAGTTGTTAACCAAATGCAGCATCTAACTGAAACCCACACACATGCTTGGTCCTCACCCGCTTCCTTCAAGCTGGTACTTCTCCGCTGGGGAATACAAACTTGGACATGATGTGTTACCTCAATACCTTATTAAAGGAGAAAAGAGCATCGTTTCTCCAATTTACAGCAGGAGAAAGGGGAAATCAATCCATATGGTAACCAATAGCAAAGATTCCCATAGTGTCACCTATGACTGTGAAAAGGTGTCCCAGTACAATACCGACAATGAATTTATGTCTCATTACAGTTAGAGTTTCATGTCTCAGAAAAGTAGTATTTATAGTTCTGTTTTCTACCAGGAATTAAAGTTTTTGTTAAATGTTCTTTATCTGTTGAAAATGTAAGCCCTGAACACACATAAAATGTAAAGATGAACTAATTTCTATAATCTTATTAACTATCAATAGACCCTGAAGAAGTTAGAGTAAAAAATTTTACCGTATTTATTTTTCACTTTTAACAGCAGAAAGAACACCAGATTGAGGGTTGTGAGAATGGGGTTCTGCATCTGGCTCTGCCACTAACTCCTGATTTCTCTGTACTGTGATCTGAGATAAAGCATATAGCCTCTAGGTCTAATCTTTCTTACTGATAAAGTCACTGTAGCTTTAAGAGGCCAGTGTTCTAGCGTGTTTGAATAAACAGAGGTATCTTAAATATGAGGAAGTTATATTCTTTCAAGGTTGTAGCTAAATGAAATTACATTAATAGAACTTTTTTTGGGGGGGAATACCATTATAAATTTAGAACAGTATTCCTAAACTATTCTGGGGATGATGTCTCCTACCAAAGTTTATAATTTAAGGATTTAAACTATTAAAACAATGTATATTAATTTGCAAATTTCAGCTACTATCATTCAGTTACTGAAATGGTAATTAAAGGATATCTTTTCTGCTATTTAAAAAGACTATTAGATTAAAATAGAAAGTTTTATAACAAATTTTAGATAATTAAGTGCTATCTGGTGCTCTGGGCCCCTTTAAGCAGTACGTTAGTTAGTAATTAATCTTCAAGAGCATTTTATTGCGACATTCCCAACTTTAGGCATTGGTCACAATTTTTAGGCACCCTCACAATTTTTGCCACATGCATGAGCAACTTGGAAAATATTTAAAAAATCAAGGGTCTGATAATACTAGTGTCCCTTACAACACATTAAAATAAACACAGTTATATCTGAATTTCTTTCACATTCCACACGTGAGAAACATGTTACAGAATGACTGTTCTAATCTGAGGATCCAGCCTGCTGCTCACTAGAAATCTGGTCTCGCTGGTGGGTTAGAAAACACCCTAACCTGCTTCACTTTCAGTGAGACTGTCTGTTCTTGGTGTTTAACTAACAAAGGTGTTTTTTCAGTAGGAGGTACTACTTAACCTATGACACTTCCATCCATTTAAATACCAGCATCTACTTAATTGTTTAAATTCTAAGGTAATCAGTGGAGGATCTACACTTTTTTTAAAATAAAAAATAAAAAGTCTCCAATGGTTTTCTTACATCTGCACAATTTCATTTGGCAAATTATGAATCTTTTTATTAGTGGTATTTGGAAACCAAACCATCAGAATTGAAAAAAGAGGAAGTTACAATGAAAAAGAGAATTTGTAATTTTAGCTGTTTAAGAAAACTCACTGCCCTGGCTGCTGTGGCTCAGTGGACTGAGCACCAGCCTGCGAACCAAAGGGTCATCTGTTTGATTCCTGGTTACGGCACATGTCCAGGTTGTGGGCCAGGTCCCTTTCCCTCTCTTCGAAAATAAATAAATAAAACCTTAAAAATAATTTAAAAAACTGCATTGTGAAGCAAATCTGATTTTGAACTAAATAAACCTCTATAAGTGAAACTAGTAACTCCTCATTTTAGCCTTAAGGCAAAAATAATTGATTTATTTCCCTAAAAATAGCCAGGATACAAGTTTCCATATTTTGTAAAAAAACTGCTTTCAAGTAATGAAATTTTTCTTTTCTTTTTTACCATAGAAAATTTCAAACACATACAAGAAAAGTAGAGAGAATGATAAAATAAACCCTCGTGTTTTTTATTTTATCTATACTCTACCTTTCTCTCACCCTCAGCACATAAAGTACTAGATTATGTTGAAACAAAACAGGGTATTTTTATGAGAAAAATTCTGGTTTTTGAAAGTAAAATACATATACACAGGGAACTCATTCAGCCTGAAATATCTACTTTTCTTATTTTAAGGAGCTAGGTTACACCACAATTTTCTTTATTTCTTTGTTCAGTTAGCACCTAATAGCATCTCCAGTGTCTGAATACTCGCCAACGGTGCCAAATGCCCTAATCTCACGTTTCCTCCTATGTAATAACAATTCATTACATTCTAGCTATGTTTAAAAACACTTAAGTAAGAAAAAATAATATAAAGATTAACTATGCCTAATTAAATTATACTTAAAATATGGAAATGAAGAGAACAGGTTCTTGAACGAGAATGTTAAAATTCTTGCAACAAACCAAAAAACCAGTAACAGTCTTATTCCCGTATTTTTATGCCTGGAGTAAAAAATTCACACATATATTTTGACATTTTGTAGTTTGGAGTACGTACATCCTGTGAATATCAATGATATAAAATGCTAGTAGGTAACAGTTTTCAAAAATCACTCATTTGGAATTTTGAGTATTTGATTATACAGAATTATGCGTAAGTTAGATAAAACGAGCTACTCATGGAAAATAAACTGACTTCCCCATGGTATCTGCCTCATCATTTGTCTACAATTTTAAAGAACACAGACTTTCCACCTGATTTTTTTAAAACAAGGACTTGCTATTTTGTGAGGGTATGACGAATCCTAAGGACATCTACTACTTTTTAAGAGCTTTCGCATCCTCCCCAACACCCAGCATGTAAAGAAAAAAAAAAAAATCAACAGACGTATTCCTAATGAACCCATCCAAGAAAGTCTAAGTCTGAAGCACTTCTAGAGTGGAAGGTTGCTAAAAATAATATTTTTTAAAATAGTGCTTTTCAAAATGTAACAGTTTCACACTTAATGGATACACTAACCTTTGGGTTTTGGTGGCACAGGACCTACAAATCCAATATTGTCATAAAAGTTATGAATTGCGCTGGGATTAAAATGTGGCCCTGAAATATATAAAAAGTAAATATATCAATGTTTATAGTTAAAAATATTTTATTTTTTAAAAAGCAAATATTTTATTTCTAAAAAATAATTACAGAAATGCGTTTCAATTATTTGTACCTCTAATCTCAAATTATATGGAAGGAGTTTAAAATGGCCGAGGCAGGCCTAACAAGGCCCTCATACCAGTGGCCTAAGTGGTAAACTGGGGAAGAGGTCATCTTAATGCTAGTAAGACAATAACATGATTAGAAACAGATCCCTGTTCTGTGGGACAAATATGTAATTTTAAATGACCCCACATGGTCTTAAGCAACTAAATAATTTGGTCACAATTAAGTATAAAAGCTTTGCACTGATGTAATACAATGGTTCACATTTTAAACAAAAGGAACAAGTTCAGAATTAGTTTCTAGACAAGCCCTAACTTTCTGTTTTCTCTCCAAAGTTAAATTATGGCATTTTCTACGAATGTTTCAAGATAAACAGCTTATGAATCATCTTTTTAATGGATTCTGGCACACAGTCAAAAGTGTGACTGAAGGACTTCCTTTTTTTGTTGGTTTCCTTCCCTTTTCTATCTTTTCCATTTTATATATTTCTATTATTTCCCCAACTTCAGAGTTAGGTTTAAGTTATAAAATTTCCTTTTAATTGTCTATGGAACTGAATTATAAACTTTTTTTTACTATAATAAGCAATGATTACGTCTAAATAATAGCTCAAGTATAATAAATTATCACTGTTCTAAAAATGTGTAAGCTACATATTTATTCAGTTCTCTGCTTTGTCAATTAAGATAGTGCCATTAGGGTGGGATGGCTTTTAAATTATGTTTTGAAAAGCATAATTCTTGAAAGGTAAAACAGAAATACAAAAATGATGTATGAGTACATACATTTTAATCTTAATAAATGTTATTGTAACACATTCTACTAGTACATAATAGCAAAACTTTAGCAACACAGCTAGAGATACTAATCCTTGTCTTCCTTTAGCACATCACTACTAAAGAAGATTTGAACAATATAAAATGTATCAATTACTCCTCAACTAAATATATTATATATTTGGGGGGGGGCAGGGTGGGAGAGAAAATTAAAACCCAATAGTTTTCTAGCATTATCTGGCTCCAAAGTCAAATCTGAGACTGTAAGATTATGACTAATAAATCTGTTTTGAGCCACAGGAAAAGAGCAGGTATATTTATACAACAAATTTCTGCTGAGTATGCACTGAAGTTTACCTCGGGCTTGAAAAAGATCAATTTCTTTGGTTAAGCAGTCAATGTCAATCTGGAGTTGTCTATTACAACTTCTCAACTGCTGCATTTCTTCCAGCTGAAAGATAATTCCATGTGAGAAGGATCTACATTGAATTCTCATGTTATTAGTTAACAAAACAAAACGAAAAAAGTTTGGCAGGGGAAGGTAAGATCAGAAAAACAAATATGAATTAAGAGCTTTTAAAACCAGATCAAGCTTTTATACTTCTGATAAGATTGCTTATTCACATGTTCAAGCAGAGAGGGCACAAGAGTTAACAGAAAGACTTACTGAAGGTATTTGGGATATGGAATTCGATCTTTTCAGACGCCTTCGAGTTAGATTATTTTCCATTTCATTGACCTCAGATTTTAGTTTATCCAACTTTTTCTTTTGAATCTCAAGTTCTCTTTGAAGTCGTTCCATTCTGGCCTTCTGGTGTACCAACAGAGCTGCAATACATATTAGTAAACGTGAGGACCTACTCACCTGCTTTAGTCATAAGCAGCCTTGGGAAAACAAAACAAATTAATATTTGTGACAAGAATTTGCCAAGAATCCCAAAGGTACATTAAGACAAAATATTGTAAATTTAAACATTTGAAATTCTGAATCTTAACTTGAAAATTATCTTAATTATTTCAGTGGACAAATGTCACTTGCTAATTTTTTTAGGGTTTGGATAAACCTATTTTATGGCCAAAGATACAGCATTTTTATCCTATTCCTTCCCTAAAGGCTCCAAACTAGTCAAATAACCTACTTACTACTATTTAATTTACATCTGACTTTCTGAAATAAGCACTTCTACTGCAAAAAGTATAGTATGTTTGGATAATGCATATGGTATTTTAACAGAAACATTTTATAGATATTTTAGAAAGGAATGTGGGTTAGATTTAATCTATCTTGATGTATGCAACAAATAAAGATTGATTTGAATCCACATGAATATAAACATTAAGCTACTGAAATTGCAAAAATAAATCTATACTATTTAGAGAAATCAAACACATGCATTTTCTAATATTCTATGAAAATGTTTCCCTAAGATTTTTAAAAAAGAAAATAAGTAATCAGCCTTGTAGTATGAATGATGAACTGCTTGGGAAGCCCATCGAGCCATAAAAATGGACACGTGTTCTTCCGATCCATCCCTGGACAACCTGAGCCTCCGTCCTTAGGACACTGAACTGAAAGTGCAGATGCCTGGATCTACTTCTGTAGGAAGGCAGCTTGGGATGGTTCTACCACCAGAAAACAGGCAGGCCTAATTAGAAAAGAACAATAACTAACCTTTACAAATGAAAAATAGTAATTAAAATTAAATCAAGCAGGTTAAACCAATCAGATTAATGCTGAACAGTCATCCTCAACTAAACCAAAGGTTCTATGAATCTAAAAAATAAGGAAAAGGCTATGACATATTAATGTACATTCAGGCCATTTAAGCTAGTAGTTTATTCTAGAACCAGAATTACAGTGTGGGGTGGGAATCCTATTAGACTCAAGGACTTCAAAATCAATTTTAGTTGATAATTTTTCCCAAGAAAAATTTGACACTGATATAATCTGCAGATTCTGTAATTTTTCTCTCTTATTGAAAGAAACAAATATGAGGGCATTATGTTTCAAGTTTTAAAAACCATGGCTAATTCTGATAAACTCTAAAATTCTGGTAGCTTCTCTGCCATTTTAATATATATATATATACACACACACACACACACACACATATATATATATATACATATATATATATTCTGTAATGAAGGGAGATGTCTGTAAGGTACACAAAGTCCTGGTTAAAAACTTGCTGCATCTTTGCACATCCATACCTACCTAACCTTTTTTAGTCAAGCTTATATTAGTTTGGTTTATTTTACTTGAATTGCGTTAGAGTTTATTGTCCTAAAAGAAGATGAGGATGTGGGTTTTATTTTTTGAATGGGACAATCAGAGAAGAAAAGATGGAAGCAGGAAGTGGTATGAAGTACAAACTAAGGGTATATACTTTCCTTCATTTCTGAATTCCAACCACCTACCAACATATCTCGAGGCATTAATTAAACATTTGTTTAAATTAATAATTATTTTATTTTAAAGTAGCATTTCTTAAAATGCTGAAGATTTGTAAAAAAACACATTTATTTAGTAGTTCTAATAAGATGGTTTGTTTATGCTGAAATTAGAAAATAAGATATACACTTGAGTTATCCTTCAATATTATACATGGAGAAGGGATGAGAATGGATTTCCTGAGAAACTGAAATGGTTTATACCACACTTGAGTGGTCACCATTGATACTATAGGGCAAAGTGAGACTTCAGAGTTTTAAATTATTATAATAATTAGCCCCAGACTGGTGATTTCCTTGGGTGCTAGGGTGAAGCAAATGCAAACTGTTCCTGAGAGTCACTTCCCCTACCAGGAAAGCTATCACTTACGGGATCCATAAAGGAAAAATACTCAATGAAAAGAAGGTCTTCAGACTTCTGGCCAAGATGGAGGCGTAGGTAGACACATTGTGCCTCCTCACATAACCAAAAAGAAGGACAACAATAATTTAAAAACAGAAACAACCAGAACTGACAGAAAATCAACTGTATGGAAGTCCAACAACCAAGGAGTTAAAGAAGAAACACTCATCCAGGCTGGTGGGAGGGGGCGGAGTCAGACGGCTGGGGGAGAGGACTCAAGGCTGGCAGAGCAAGCGGTCCCACATTCTTGTGCAGATAAACTGGGGGAATAACTGGGGAACTAGACAAACCATGCAACCTGGGGTTCTAGCACAGGGAAATAAAGCCTCAAACCTCTGATCAAAACACCTGTGATGGTTGAGGTGGCAGGCAGCAGGAGAAACTCTTAGCCTCCCCGAAGAGTTCATTGAAGAGACCCACAGGATCCTGGAATGAACACGAATACACCCACTGGGAATCAGCACCAGAAGGGCCCAATTTGATCGTGGGTAGCGGGGGAAGGGACTGAAAACCAGCAGAGAGCAGAGCAAGTAGCACCATTCCCTGTCAGACCCCTTCCTCATGTACAGCATCACAGGGCAGCAACATGCACTGCCCTGCCCTGGTGAACTCTTAAGGTTCTGACACCTACTACGTAACAGGCATACTGAGAGAAAAAATGGTCCAGATGAAAGAACAGATCAAAGCTCCAGAAAAAATACAACTAAGTGATGAAGAGATAGCCAGCCCATCAAGATGCACAGTTCAAAACATTGGTAATCAGGACACTCACAGAATTGGTTGACTATGGTCGCAAATTAGATGAAAAAATGATGGCTATGCTAAGTGAAATAAAGGAAAATGTACAGAGAACCAACAGTGATGGGAAGGAACTGGGACTCAAATCAACAGTTTGGACCAGAAGGAAGAAAGAAACATTCAACCAGAACAGAGTGAAGAGACAAGAATTCAAAAAAATAAGGAGAGCCTTAAAAACCTCTGGGACAACCTTAAACATTGCAACATCTGAATCATAGAGGTACCAGAAGGAAAAGAGGAAGAGCAAGAAATGAGAAACTTATTTGAAAAAATAATGAAGGAGAACTTGCCTAATCTGGCAAAGGAAATAGATTTCCAGGAAGTCTAGGAAGTTCAGAGAGTCCCAAAAAAGTTGGACCCAAGGAAGCACACACCAAGGCACATCATAATTACATTAGCCAAGATTAAAGACAAAGAGAGAATCTTAAAAGCAGCAAGAGAAAATGACATAGTTACCTATAAAGGAGCTGATTTCTCAAAAGAAACCATGCATGCAAGAAGGGGCTGGAAAGAAGTATTCGAAATCATGAAAGGCAAGGACCTACATCCAACATTATCTAGCAAAGCTATCATTTAGAATGGAAGGGCAGATAAAGTGCTTCCCAGATAAGGTCACGTTAAAGGAGTTCATCACCAAGCCCTTATTATATGAACTATTAAAAGGACTTACCTAAGAAAATAAAAAACATGAACAGTAAAATGACAACAAACTCACAGTTATTAACAACTGAACCTAAAAAAACAAAAACAAACTAAGCAAACAACTACAACAGGAACAGAATCACAGAAATGGAGATCACATGGAGGGTTATCAGTGGGGAAAGTGGGTGGGGAAAGGGGGTAAAAGGTACAGAGAATAAGCATAAATGGTAGGTAGAAGATAGACAGGGGGAAGTTAAGAATAGTAACAGAAAATGTAGAAGCCAAACAACATATATATGACCCATGGACATGAACTAAAGGGGGGGAATGCAGGTGGGAGGGGGTGCACAGGGCAGAGGGGAGTAAAGGGGGGAAAACAGCATAATCAATAAAATGTATTTTTTAAAAAAAGAATTTAAATTTAAATTAAATCAACTGTGTTCTGTGGAAGCCTCTTATAAGATGTGAGAAGGCTTAACCATCCTTGAATTATTTTCCCACTCCTGGTACCTGTTTAAGGGAATTAATTTTTTATTCATTTTATCTCCTGATTATTATTCTATAGCCTACATATCGAAGAAAATGATGGAATGCTGATTTCATTTTATAAAAATTCCATTATCTGGATCCTAATACTAGGAGCATATTCATGCATGTGCACAAAAGCACACATGTGTACACCCCTCCCACCCATATACTTACAGCTGTATACTTAGAGATAAATAAATAATATGTTTTGTAAATTCAAGGTTGCTTTATTATGATTTTTCTATTTTCCCGTTATTCATTTATGATGGTAAGTTTCTCTGTCTTTTATCCATTACCTTAGATATTAAAACATTTGTAGATTTATTATTTTTAGTAAAACATTTTTGCTACATCATTAGTAATAATACTGGAATCTTAGAACACTTTATTTATAGTCTTCCGGTATTTTATGTTTTTCATCATACATGTTAATTTCACAAATATTTTAAATATCACAAAACAGATTAAAAAAAACCATGGTAACTTCAAATGTATTAAAATTAAGTTGATTTTAAAATAAGGACATATACCTTGCCCTTGATAAAAAATAAATATTTTGCTTTTTAAATTTTCAAAAACAAAAAAATGGGAAAAGGTCTCAAGAGAAAAAACTGACCAAACATGAAAATGACCTATCACGAGTCAATGGCTCAAAGGAGCCACCCAAACATAAACATTACATAATAGTCTGAAAGACACTATGGAAAAATCGGTTTAAAATGACTACAGTAACACCAGGAGAAAACAAAAATATAACCAAAGATATGGCACTGTGAATAAGACAACAGATCAGGAAAAGTACCATAAACAACCCTGTCAAATGAAAACAGTCACTGGAATGAAAGGGCCAGGCGGATGAAAACTTAGATCGGATGGAGTCACAAATGCAGCCAGTGACCTGGAAGGCAGATCTGAGATTACTTCCCAGGGCACACAGAGACGAAGTGACAGAAAACATGGAAGAGAAAAGATGTTATATAAGCCTAAAGAGGAGCTCTAGAAA